ACCTCCTATTAACAAAAAAAAATTTTTTTTGTAGACATTTTGGTTACAGTGTGTTTCTTTGGTGTTAAAATAATTGTAGTGTTTAACAGGGATCTGAGTGGGGAGACCCACATCTTAAGGATGTGATGAGCATTGTAGGGGGGAAAGGATTACCTCTATCCCTTTTTAGGGATAGGCAGGTCTTTATAGATGTTGACTTTAATATTCCTTAGTATAGACTCATGTGACTATCTTTGAAAATTGTAAAACTCAACTGTATTAATTACTTTATTACTAATGGGGAAGATGTGAAGGCAACTTTGATGTAATGACCCTTGTAATTTTTTTTTGTAAAGCTTACAGTAACCTTCAGATCAGACTGAATTCCCTGCATTGGGAATTGCAACTGCTCACATGAGCTTAGGTTAAGTGAAGCAAACAATATGGAGGTGTTATTATTCCCTACTCTTCTTGGATTTATCCTCAGGAAGAGGTCATCTGTCAGAGGAAGAATGAAATGAAAGGATTAAGAAGGAAGTGTTTGTTTCTGGCTGAAGCATGCTTATAATAGAAGAGAAAATGGTATGGAAGTTGCTGAAATTAATTTCCTTACAGTGACATCATTGTTAACTGGCCCTTTTTTTGGCAGTCATTCTTTGGGGGATTATCAGGCCTAGTTATGTTATTAATACTTGGGAATGCTCTATATTAGTTGAGAACCTCCACCTCCAAGGACTAGGACAAAATTGGACACTGACTCTTTTGCCTGAGTTTTAGCTTTTAACAGCCATCCTCTTTGATCTTAGATATATGTGTACTGATATATTTGTAATCAAAGAAAAAAGAAACCCTCAAATAAAATAAAATCTAAGCATTCCTAGCCTTACGTTTTGAATGAAACCTTAGATTAGTGTCCACTTTTTTTTCACTAGGTTACTATGAAGTTTCAAGATTTCATTATTGTTTTTCCAAGTACTATTTTCAATAGGAAAAAATCCATGTTTCTATGTAATCAACTTTATTACAGTGAATCTTATCTACAGAAACTATGCAGTTATTCATCAAATAGCAGTTACTTTTAGTAGTTAAGGTAAAGTAAATTTTGCTGTCATAAAATCTAGCTTCAAATTATGACCTGTGTGAGTTGGAGGCAAGTTATTTATTATATTGGGTTTTAGTTTCATATCTTAATTTCTACCTTCTTCATAGAAATACTGTTATTTCTGGTATGTCCTTGGGAATCACAGTGGATGACAAAGCTTTCCTTTTATTAATGGAAATTTTTTTAATTGGAAATCATTTTAATATGTTACAGTCTTATGTGTCCTCAGAATCTGTACATTATTGTCAGGGTTCTACCAGAGAAGCAGAAGAGAAACAGAACCAGTAGGAGGTATATATTAAGAAAATTATTGCAAGGAATTGGCTTAAGGAATCCACAGGCTGGCAGAAGGGCAGGCTGCAAACTCCAGGGGGAGAGTTCAAGCTTCAGTCCACAGGTGGAATTTCTTCTTCCTCAGGAAAAGCTCGGTTCTGCTTTAAGGTCTTTCCAATGATTGGATCTGGAGCACCCAGTTATTGAAAGATAGTATTATTCACTTCAAGTTAATTGGTTGCAGATATTAATTATTATACATCTACAGAAGTCCTTCACAGCAACACCTAGATCAGTGTTTGACTGATGAACTGGGGACTACAACCTAGTTAAATTGATGCATGAATCTGACCACTACATCACAGTCTACCCTTTGTCAGCTTTGTGGCCAGACATATTTCCTTAAACCATACTTAATCTCAAAATAAAAACAATAACACAACCCTTCTTCTGACTGACATGATACAGCTATCCTGAAGCATGGTTTACAACCCAAAACATGCTTACCCTTGCCCCAGAAGATGATACAATGACATCAGGTGCTGTTCGCTATTCTTGGCATCCTGTAACTTAAATACTGCCATGTAAAGTTAGCTATTATTAATATTATCTTGGAGTATGGTGGCATGCACCTGTAATCCCAGCTACTCAGGAGTTTGAGGCAAATGGATTGTTTGAGCCCAGTTCAAGTCCAGCCTCATCCACATAGGAGACTCTATCTCAAAAAAAGTTTTTTTAAAAATTAATATAGCTTATGTTAGATGATAATGGCTTAAAATATGAAAGAAAGCAAAAATGTTATATACACATCACAAGCATATATATTTATAATAAAATATGGAATACTTATAACTTGTCTTTGTTTCTACAATTGGGATGCTGTATATTACTTCCCTGCTCTGCTACCCATTCCATACGCTCTTTGCTTTCAGACAGACACTTCAGCAGGTCATGGTTTGTTGCCTGGTGGGGTGACCCATACCTTCATTCTTTTGCCTGAGTTTTAGTTTTTAACAGCCATCCTTTTTTGATCTTAGACATATGTGTACTCTTATATTTGTAACCAAAGAAAAAAGAAACTCTCAAATAAAACAAAATCTAAGCATTCCTGAGCTTTGCAGTTTGAATGAAATGTAGAGAGTCTGGTTGGTCCATTGAATTATTGTGGTTGTCAGTTGACTTTCTTCACAGAATGTGGTAGTAATATGAGATGCTCTAAGGGATCGCCTGTATTTCAAACATACTCTTCCTTACCTCCATTGTGTAGTACAGCCTAATTTCCCACTTGGTGATCAGGGTTAATCATCCCAGCCAATATAGTAACTTCCTTCTTTGCCTGTTGATTCAGAAGGCTGGGGAACCCAAAGTGACTGGTAGCAGTCTTAACTCCCAGTTCAGTGGAATTATTCTTGTGTCTCTTAGTGGAAGCATTCTTCCTTTGAAGCTAAGACTTGTTGACCAGCAAAGCATAAGGTCTCGGAGATAGGAAGCAAAATTTTTCCAGTGGATGGCTAATGGTAATAGTGTTATCACTCCAATTTCTACCCCTTGATGGCTGGATCCATGAATTCTGGTTGTAGGAGACAGAACTCCACATACTGAGCATATACTGATTTGGATTTAGAACATATACAGCCTCCTGGCAGATATTGTCAGAACCCAGCAAGGTACTATCACCTAGTTGGTACTAAAACTTGGTCTTCACAGGCCATTCCACTGTTCCATCATGCCATCCATCTGCTTCAGGGTGATGAAGAAAATGGTAAGTCCAGTGAATGAGAATTTCTGTACTTCATTTGCTTTGAAGTAAGTTCCTTGATCAGAAGCAATGCTATGTGGAATACCATGATGGGGGATAAAGTATTCTTTAAATTCATGGAGGATAGTTATGGCAGAAACATTACATATGGGGAGAGCAAGTTTATGCCCAAAGTGTCTAATTCCAGTAATTACAAAGCACTACCACTTCCAATATAGAAGCAGTCCAATATAATCAACAGGTATAGGTAGCTTGGTTGATCACCCAGGGGAATGGTGCCATATTGGAGGCTCATTGCTGGTCTCTGCTGCTGGCAGATTGGGCACTCAGCAGTGACTGAAACCAGGTTGGCCTTGTTGAGGGGAAGTCCATATTGCTGAGCCCATATGTAACCTCCATTCCTGTCTCCATGGCCACTGTTCATAAGCTTATTGGCCAAAGACGGCAGTGGCTAGGGAAAATTGGCACAGTATCCACAGAATGGGTCATCTGTCCACCTGATTATTAAAATTCTTCTCTGACAAGGTCATCTTTTGATGAACATTTACATAGGACATGATATCTTTATGTTCTTTGTTCATTCAGAAAGGTCTATGCATATACTTCTTCCCCAGACATCCTTGTCACCAATTTTTCATGTTCCTTCCAAGTTGACAACCATCTAGTCAAATGGTTGACCACAGCCAATGAGTTAGTATAATTTTGTACCTCTGGCTATTTTTTCTTCCAGGTAACATGAATACTCAGTTTTGCTGCTCAAAGTTATGGCTACAGGGAGGATTTCTCTTTACCACTATCCTTTAGAGATGTACTAGAAAGGAGCTATAGTGCAATAGCTAGCTGTCTACTTTCAGGTGGTGCCTACATATCTTATAAAACCATCTGTAAGCCAGGCTCAAATCTTTTTCTCAGCCAGTTGGTGTAGGGAACTCCACATGGGGCCCTAGGTGCAGGCTGGTAGAGAGAAAGTAGTACTGCAGGAGTGGGGACCATAGGCATTTGGGCCTCTTCCTTATGTAAATTACTATGACCTTCAGGGCCTGCTTGAGCCCAATCTTGAATATACCACTTCTGTTTGATATGGAAGTGCTGCTGTGCATGCCCAACTTTAAGGGGCTTAGAAGGTCAGATAACACCCAGTTCATGATGGGTAGCTCAGGTCTCATGGTAACTTAGTGGCCCACGTTTAGGCATTCAGTTTCTACTAAGGCTCAGAAGCCATCCAAAAACTGTTTCTCAAAGGAGAGTAGTTGTTTGCAGAAAATGGCAGAGCTTTGTTCCAAAATCCTCAGAGTTTTCTTTGTGATTCACCTACAGGGGCCTGCCAGGGGCTCCAACCAGCATGTCTGTCTACCACTGGTAGAGATGATGAATCAGATCTGATGAATCATATATCCCAAAAGACAGAGTGGCTTGCATGGCAGCCTGCACTTATTTCAAAGTCTTCTCTAATTCAGGAACACACTCAAAACTAGAAGCCTTTTGAGTTAGTCAGTAAATGGGCCAGAGTAGCACACTCAAATAAAGAACACGTTGCTTCAAAATCCAAAGAGGCCCACTAGGCATTGTGCTCCATTTTGGTTGTAGAAGGAACCAAATGCAACAACTTATTGTTTGCCTTAGAAGGGATATGTCAACATGTCCCATACCACTAAGCCCCTAGGAATTTCACTGAGGTAGAAGGCCTTACATGGGCCAAATAGATGCATTAAATGGGGATGTAGTGGGAATCATTACCCCTGCATCCTTCTAGTTCTTGATTGTGGCGCTAATCTCTGCAATCCCTTTAGAAATGCAGTTTTTCTTTCAGTTTACTATTTTTTCTAAGTAGAGACATTTGTGGTCATTTCCACTTGGCTATTCCTGCCATGATAGCTTACTAGTTTTAGAACTCTTATACTTATACAAATTAAGTTCCTAGTTCACTAGTCCTAGAACTCTTATGTTTATACAGATTAAGTAAGAATTTAGCAGATTGCCTATCTATTTCTTTTCTAGGAACACCATGATCAACCTTGTCAATGCCATAGGTCTCTCCAAGTCAGACTATTCTGATTACTGCTTTGACTTTTCTGTCTGTCTTTGGTGATCCAGTGATGTCACACTGGTCCTGCCACTCTGTGATCCAGTTATCTCTATCGCATTTAGCAATCTCAGTTTAGTGGCAGCAATTCCCTCTGTAATTTTTGGCCTATAGAGAAGAGTGACCACAGAGCTCTTCAAGTATGCTGGTGTCATGATGAAAGGTGTGTCCTCTGAACCCTCCCAGGAGGGGTAGGTGAGCAGGTCTTATATGATAGATCTGTCCTGACATTTCAATCTCCCCAAACCTTTGGAGACCTTCTTCTCCAATATACCAAGGCACTTAGTTCTGGTATTTGATTTCATTTAATGTAGGCCACCTTTTAGTCCATGTTTCCACTAACCAACCAAAATGTCAGAGACTTTTCTAACCCCTTGAGCTAAAATATTGAATGTAGAATTTCTGTATAGTGGGCTAATATCATTAAGTTCATCCTGATTCAACAACTTTATGTTCCTTCCACAATTATCCCAACATGCTTAATATCCATTGCCATATTCCCCAGATTTATGAAATCATGCATTTCTTTTGGTGTGTAGCACACTTCCTCATGGACACACTTTGTACCTTAACCTTTCGGGATTGCAGGAACTTAAGTCTAGTTATAAGTGTAGAAGCAAACATGTACCAGGGGTAGGCCCTGAGGAGAATCAGCAGTGTTGTACAAGGCACCTACCTCAGGGGAGGCCATTACAAGTTCCTTGGGCACATCAGGGTTACCCTCAGGAGTGGAAAGGCTTTTCTACTGACAAAGAAGACTCATCAGAATTTTGGAATTTGATGTCTCAAGCTTCAGTGGGGTTTCCAATATGTCTCCATTCCAATTTTCAAGATCCCATTCCTTCCCAGTCAACACCCCCACTTTAATGGAATAAATTCTATGAGATTGGGAATTCATTTTGTGTTGTAATTCAGCAACTCACAGGTTGAAAGTCTGTGTCTAACGTCTTAACTCCATGGCTATAGTAGATAAGGGTGTGTTTGGGGGCAGACATAGGAGTTTCCAGGTCATTTATGCATTGCTTGAACAGGGAATTTCTAGCCCTTAAGTTATCTTTTTCTTTCTCTTTCCAGAGCTCAGTTAGCAGCTAGCAGCCAACCGCATCATATTCTTCAGTTTGAGCAAAATGTTCTAAGATATCAAATACATGGTCGCCCAGAACCTTGCATTTCATGGATATTTGATATAAGTATGGAATGGTGATATGTGTGTTTCTCTATTGCCATGTCATGCCATAGACTCCCAGTGTCCTCTTTACCACTAGAAACACTCACTAGTGCCTTTAAATCCAATCAGATTAGAGAACCTATTCCAGAAGCCCAAGAAACAAACCCATTCAGATGACTTATCCTTAAAATTCTATTCCTATAGAACCTCTCTTAGTATAAAAATCCATACCATTCAGTCAGGGTTCTACCAACAAAAAAGAAAAGAAGTTGCTCTGATGTGATTTTAGGTTCAATTTATATAGTGTGCATAGTATGCGTGTGTGTGTAGAGAGAGGGAGAATTTTGGGTAGAAATGAGAGTTGTTCCTGCTATTTCTTCTAGTCGTTTGTGGCTCCATATCTATTATTCTAAAGGTAAACTCACACTAGTTACCATTTACCTCTAGAATATTGTTTATTTTAATAATAATGGTTTACTGAAAATGTACTGTGTTCAGGGTTCTGAATCGAGGCTAAGGACTACCATAAATACCAACCGAGATTATTGCATGATTGGAGATTCTAAGAGTGTAACTTACATTTTTATTTTGTAAGCAATTGGTTTATGTGATTATGGAAGCTGGCTAGGCAAGTCCAAAGTCCTTAGGGCAGTTGGAAGTTTGGACATTCTCTGGCAGAAACTGAAGCTGCATATTGTCCATAGGTGGAATTTTTTCTTCCTCTGGGAAACCACTAATCTGTTTTCTTCAACTGATTGGGTCAGACCCACCCAGATAATGGAGGATAGTCTCCTTACTTAAATCAACTGATTATAGATGTTAACCATATCTATGAAATTCATTTAGCACACCACTTTGATCAGTGTTGGAGTGAATAACTGGGACTGTAGCCTAGCTTGGGTTGAGACATAAAACTGATCATTCAATAGTTCAACTTTGTTCTTGATGGCTCAGAGTCATCACACATAAAGGCAGATGTATATGATGTATCCACAGAGATTATGGCTAATTATATGCATGGGCTCTAACTTGGTTTCTTGAAGAAGTTCTAGATAATGATTGCTTTTTAGTCAGTTTTTACTTAAAAATAAAGTATTACAGCTATAGAGTCCTTTTTGGTAGTATGATATGGCTCCTTTACTTACTTAGTTTTTCCTTCAAAAAGAGTTAACTGAAGTGGCCTTTCATCAACAGATTTTCTCATTCTCCACAAAATCATCTTATCCATGGTCTAGTACTATTAGTGTCTTTGAATTAACAAATTAACATACTGTTAAAAGCATCCACAACACAGTGGATCAGTCATGATCTTTGGGTTCAGGAGTCTTTTCCATTGTGTTCATTTATTGCTGCCTATAGAGGAGCTAATTCTGCTAACAGGTTTGGAATTTGGTTTTGTTTGACTAGTCGGGAAGAATTCTAGAATTTTAAATTCCAGAATACTGGTCTCTGGATAGCTGAGCTTTCTCAACATATTGTTTAACGTGCTTAAAAAGTACTTAAAAAAAAAAAGAAAAGAAATCGGGGGATATGTGACTAGAGTGATATCTCTGCTAAGTGAAAGGAGCACATTCCCGAGGAAACATTTGATTATTCATCACGAAACAAGGTAATGTTTTTTTCCTGGTGACTGCCACCTTCAGCCAAGCTCCTGGGACTTGCTTGTGTGGAATAATGGTGTGTATCAGGCCATTCTCCCTTCTTGCATATGCTCTGGGGCCAAGAGGCAAGACATAAGTTGCTCTGACAGGATGGCAGGTGCAATACATGGCTAGGAGAGAGATTTTTATGGAAAACCTCTATAGCAGCTTTTCTGATATTTTACCATTCAAATCTGGTGGGGTGGAAGTTGGGGGGCAGTTTGATTCCAAAACACATACTTTATCATCCTGTGTATTAAACTTACTGCATTCTATTTAGTGAAATGTGAAAGGATTACTTGAAAGAAAAAAATTGAGTTGGGGGGGGGGCTTCCTGAGAATCAGCAGCTCCTTCTGTCACTGGGTCCCTTTCTCTATCTTCATTTATGATCGCCAGGACTTCACCCTGTTTTATTTTAGATGAGATAATCTCAGTGCCTGAGGCCAACCAAATTCTCTCTGTTGCCTCTCCTAGTCTCCCCCAAGCCCTAGCCTTTATATTCTGCTCTGGCGTGTGATGCAGTGTGAAGAATTTAGACTTTGGTATCAGACCAGAGTTTGGATTCTTATTAGGAGATTAGTTGAAATTTCTAAACCTTGGTGTCTTCTTAAAGAAAATGCAGAGAAGTCAGAGAATTCTGTTGGAATAAGATCATGTAAATGTGAAGTACATGGCAAAGGATAGATACAAAATATATTTTCCTTGCTGCCACTCTCCACTTCCTGAACATAAAAATATGTGAATGAATAGCATTTTGGGTAGAAATGAGAGTTGTTCCTGCTATTTCTTCCGGTCCTTTGACTGTGGCTCCATATCTATTATTCTAAAGGTAAACTCACACTAGTTACCATTTACCTCGAGAATATTGTTTGTTTTAATAATAGTGGTTTACTGAAAATGTACTGTGTTCAGGGTTCTGAACCAAGGCTAAAGACTACCATAAATACCAACCAAGATTATTGCATGATTGCAGATTCTAAGAGTGTAACCTACATTTTTATATTGTATCCTCAACCTTTAAAAACAGATGTAAGATTTATTCCCAGACATCACTTGTTATATTTTTCTGTACTGGATTACAGAAAACCTGTAAACCTGTTAGAATGTATTATACTAACTTTCTATTTCTTTTTAATTTCATACTTTTTTACAATTTTAATATTAGAAAGAGAAATGTTGAGGTCTAAATACTTTGGATTTTTTTTCTTGTAGAAAAGAAACCTGGTTCGTGTCAGTTTACTTTTTTGTTCATACTGTTAATATAGTTAGGAGTTTAAATACTTTAGACCTTCATGTTTTCTCTCCTGTGCTTTGGTTTATATCGAGGGATTTAAAATTCTTATATATGAGTACCATATAGTTTCTTTATCATCATAGTCATTCATTTATCCAATAAAATTTATTGAGGACCTACTAGGGCCTGGGGATATGGAACAAAAATGGAAATGGTGTCTGACTCCTATAGACAAATATTTGTGTTCTCTCAAAATTCATATGTTGAAATCATAATCCCCAAGGTGACGGTTTTAGGAATTGAGGCCTTTGATATGTGATTGGGTCACAATAGTGGGACCCTCAGGATTAGTGCCCCTTTGAAAGGGACCCTGGAGAGCTCCCTCCTCTTCATTTCATTGTGAGAACACAGTGAAAATACTGCCACTTACTTATAAGTCAGGAGATGGGCCCTTGCCAGACACTAAATCTGCCAGTGCCTCCATCTTGGACTTCTCAGCCTCTAGAAAAACTGTGAGACTTTTTTTGTTGTTTATAAACTACTCAGTCTATGGTATTCCGTTGTAGCAGCCCAAATGGAATAAGATTATCTTCATGGAGGCAACAGTCTAGTAGAGAAGGCAGATGTAAATAAACAATATACAAGTTTATAGCTACTAATGGTGGTGAGTTATTATGGAAAGAAGTAGATTACTAGAGAGAATATCTCTCATATTTATAGTGCTAATAAAAGTAACTTAACTTTGTAAAACAATTAGATAGCCTGCATAAGGCTTTTTAATTATTTACTATTATGCTAACCTGTCTGTAAAAGGAAAAGAATCATTTTTGGTCTTATTCTTCTTTCTATTAAATACTAGGAAAGAAACATTTATGTTCTGTCCAGCTATAGGGTTTTGAAACTTTAAAACTTAAGAAGATGCTTGAAATTATAAAATTTGAACTCAGTAACTGTAGTGTTATATTTTAGTATTTTTTTTTCTCCCCTTGATAGTAATTTATTTTTCATGGTATTGTGAATTTTTTTGTCTGGATGTGTAATATTCTTGAGACTGTCTTTCTTTCTTTCTTTCTTTCTTTCTTTCTTTCTTTCTTTCTTTCTTTCTTTCTTTCTTTCTTTCTTTCTTTCTTTTTCTCTCTTTCTCTCTCTCTTTCTCTCTCTTTCTTTCTCTCTTTCTTTCTTTCTCTCTTTCTTTCTTTCTCTCTTTCTTTCTTTCTTTCTCTCTCTTTCTCTCTCTTTCTTTCTCTCTCTCTTTCTTTCTCTCTCTCTCTTTCTTTCTTTCTTTCTTTCTTTCTTTCTTTCTTTCTTTCTTTCTTTCTTTCTTTCTTTCTTTCTTTCTTTCTTTCTTCCTTCCTTCCTTCCTTCCTTCCTTTCTTTCTTTCTTTTCTTGGTAATCTTCAGGCACCTGTAAATGTTTATATGTAGAAACAATTAATACAGAGCTATTGTATGTATCAGTGGAATCTGATCAGTGTATTCTTTGTCTTCATTAAATAAAAGATCTAGTAAATTTGTTACATGAAAGTATGTATTGTAGACCTATACCAAAGTTTAAATGCCCTCTTAAAGAATAGTAACAATTGCATAAATCTCATTTTTTATTAGGTAAAACTGATCTTAAGTGTATTCCTAAACAGTTGAAAAGAATAAGTTCATGATGAATTACGTGAAATTTATTTACTGAAATGTGTTTTTAAGTTTGAATTTGAGAAAAATAAATTTTGCCTAATTATTGTGGTAAGAAAAGAAATTGTTCCTATGACATCAGGACAAGCTGGTTATAGCCAAACTGATTTATCAGCACTGAGATCTGTCCCTATTCATGCCACCTGTCTGGCTCTCACTGACCCAGGCTCTGCACTGTTACAGACAACAGGACAACAGAGTCACCGCTTTAGACATGCAGCCAGTCAGCTAGAAGCCCAGCTGGGAGGAGTGAGGAGCAAGAAGGTTGATGAGGTGGGTGGGAGTCCTGGAAGTGGAACAGAAGAGAAACGAGGGCATCCCTAAATTATAGATGTGATACTGAGGGTGTAAAAGCAGAGCTGGCATACAGATAAAAGTAAATCATTTTGTCGACAAAGGCAAAATCACCAGTGATCCATATGTTTGCTCTGCCCACACTTGGCCATATTTGCCACTTACAGCTCCAGATCCACTTCCTCAAAGAGGCTGTCTCTGATCTCCTAATTTAAATCCTCATTGAGTTCTTATTATTCAAAAACCTATTCCCCCCCATAATTTCAAAAGTTATAAATTGCAAATTATGTATTTGATTACTTATACATGTCCTATATTCTCCTTTAGTTTTTTTTTAAATAAATTTTATTGTGTATATTCAAAGTTTATAACCTGATGTTATGGGATACATATAGATAATAAAATAGTTATAATAGGGAAGCAGATTAACAATCTATCATCTCAAATAGTTACTTCTTTAGTCTTTAAGACCTTGTTACACAGCTAGCTTTCAGTTGTTCACTAAATATTTGTTAAATAAATGAATGATGATCAAAGCTTTCAACTGGTTACTCTCAACTTTCCCCTTTATTCAATAGACATTGAGTCTAAACTTGCTGCTCCTGGCTACATATTCATTAGGAGCTCTCATAAACACCCCAAAGTGCTTGGAATTTTGCATGGATTTTTTTTTTCAGAGTAGTTTTTCAGTCAGCTTGCAATAGACATTTGTTGATCATCTACCCAAAAGGTGCAACCCAACCTATTATCATGACTTATGTTAGTGTTGTTAATTAATTTTTATCAATGCCAATGACCATTGTTAAGATGGTATTTTGGAGCTAATTTGATTTGCATTTCTAGTGTAGTGTGTAAAATTTGATAGTGAGGTAAATTTATAAGTGAATGACTACTAGTGGTGTTGTTTCTTATTTGGGGGATATCTATAATAATACTTCCTTTTTTCAGTATAGTTTAGCAGGAGTTACTTGAAATCTTTCTTACATGGATGTTCCCAGCTAATGTTATTGATATTTGGGTTTTTTAGCTGTGTTTTTTATCTTTGAAAGATTAGGGAGTAATCCAACTTTAAACACTGGCTTTCAGCCACATCTCAATATACTCATAAAACCAATATAACTTCTCTCAGTCCAGCTTCACAGATGCAGGAATCTAGCAGCTCTTGCTTGAGCCATTAAGGGAAATAACTAAAGATAAAGGCTTTGTGAAATATCAGATATGTGGTGGTGAGTATGATAACCTTAAAGAAACTCTCACAAGTTCTAATTCTCTGCTATTGTCCTGAATCACTGGACTAAGCTCCTTAAATCATGTTAAGTTATATGCTAAAATTAAGTTTATTAATCTTTCATGCAAATATCAAAGAAAAAAACTGCCTGAAACCTTAGGTTGCTAATTAAAAATATTACGTACATTTAATCTTCTGGAGATATAAAATATTTTTGGAGTAGGTTGGTTTTTTTGCTACTTCTGGAATAATTAATAGGAAATATTAGATAAAGCCTATATTGGCAGAAGTGGTTTGGGTCAAGCCATTTATATTATGCCTTGAAAATACCATGCACACATGGGCACTGAATTACTTACTATATAATTACTATATTGAATAATCCTTACTAAATGATGTCAAATTTGATTTGATTTACAAATTCAGAAAAGTAATGACACAAGTTTTAGCTACATTTTACTCTGCAGCAGAATAGAAAATGTATTGCCTTAGTTTGCTGAGTGCTTTAAGATTTACAACTTAAATAGTGTCCCTTGAGATGCTAATAAATCCAATCCCCATTTAACTTTTCACTAGTTGCCTTCATTCATTTATACACTCATTTTTCTTTTTTTTTTTTTTGAGCTTGGAATTATTGTTCTCATAATGGTAGTAATGTTCATACATTACTATGAAAGTTTAATATGATTGAAGTTCAAGCTTGACTTTTCCTTACTAGTAGGGGCCCTTTCTGGGCAGAGGTCTTTCTGAATTAAGGCCAGGGAAAGCCTGTGTTCTTGGCAAGAGCAGACCTATCTCAGGACCATTACTGGTTGCTATTTAATACATTTTCTTATCTTAAATCTGAACCAGGGGTCACTGAAGGCAGTGATCTGGAGGAAACATATATAGGTCTCTTCAATATGGATGTTCTTAGCCTTTGTTCTAATGGTGTATTTGTTTCTACACCTCATCACAAAATAAATAAAGACTATTTTATTTCAGAAAAATTGTGAGAATTTATGAGATATTTCTATTACTAGATTTGGACAACCTTAGAGGTGATAAAACATGAAAAATTCAGTATCACAAACCTATAGCACTAAAATTACTCAAGTCAAGTGGAGAGTTTATAGTTCATGAAAAGGTGGAGTAAAGGTACATTAAGTAATAATCAACAGATTTCTTGTCCAGGAACTACTCTGGATTACCTATTGAAAAGAATCCCTGTGTTGAGAGTGGAAGCAGGTGTGAGTGGGTCCAACAGAAGGAAACATGGCTGCCAAAGTGTTTGAGTCCATTGGCAAGTTCGGCCTGGCCTTGGCCGTTGCAGGAGGCGTGGCGAACTCTGCCCTGTATAATGTGGATGCTGGGCACAGAGCTGTCATCTTTGACCGATTCCGTGGAGTGCAGGACATTGTGGTAGGGGAAGGGACTCACTTTCTCATCCCATGGGTACAGAAACCAATTATCTTTGACTGCCGCTCTCGGCCGCGTAACGTGCCAGTCATCACTGGCAGCAAAGATTTACAGAATGTCAACATCACGCTGCGCATCCTCTTCCGGCCGGTGGCTAGCCAGCTCCCGCGCATCTTCACCAGCATCGGAGAGGACTACGACGAGCGCGTGCTGCCGTCCATCACCACAGAGATCCTCAAGTCAGTGGTGGCTCGCTTTGATGCAGGGGAACTAATCACCCAGAGAGAGCTGGTCTCCAGGCAGGTGGGCGATGACCTTACGGAGCGAGCAGCAACCTTCGGGCTCATCCTGGACGATGTCTCCTTGACGCATCTGACCTTTGGGAAGGAGTTCACAGAAGCGGTGGAAGCCAAACTGGTGGCTCAGCAGGAAGCAGAGAGGGCCAGATTCGTGGTGGAAAAGGCTGAGCAGCAGAAAAAGGCGGCCATCATCTCTGCCGAGGGCGACTCCAAGGCAGCCGAGCTGATCGCCAACTCGCTGGCCACCGCGGGGGACGGCCTGATCGAGCTGCGCAAGCTGGAGGCCGCGGAGGACATTGCGTACCAGCTGTCACGCTCTCCGAACGTCGCCTACCTGCCGGCGGGGCAGTCCGCGCTCCTGCAGCTGCCCCAGTGAGGAGGACCCACCCTGCCTGCACCTCCTCAGGCCAGCGGGGCCACAGCCCTGCTGATGCTTAACACCACCTCCTTCTGCCCCACCCAGAAATCACTGTGAAATCTCATGATTGGCTTACCGTGAAGGAAATAAAAGTAAAATCACTTCAGATCTCTAAAAAAAAAAAAAAAAAAAAGAATCCCTGTGTTGTGTGCCCCTTCTGTCTTTATTGCTTTGATGTGCTACTGAAATCACAGTGGCAGGGATCACTCACAAGAGAGTGATGCTTGAGGGCAGTTTGAGGAATGTATCAATTCTAGTTTGCTAAAGCTCTCATAAAAGCTTCATCCCCAGAAAAATGAAAAGTACAAATTATGCTTCGTTAATGTGTTTGGATTGGATTCAAGACCAGACTTTGAATCTTGACCCTGACACTTACCAGTGTATGGCTTGGGCAACCTCTCCCAGCCTCTGTTTTCTCATCAATGAAATGAGGATGATCACACCTATCGTGAGAATGGTAAGAGGACTGCTGGTTATAATAATATCTGATTGATAAGGTTGTTGTGAGGATTAGATGAATTAGCATATATGAAGATTTAAAACCATATATAGCATGCAGGAATTGCTCAACAATATTATTATTATTTATATCATCATTAGAATTTTTACTGCTATTGCTGTTCTGTAGAATAGGGATTAAGCCCAGACTGTGAAATCAGGGAAAACTGGATTTAAATCCCTCAACTTTCTAAATGGGAAGCCTTGGGTATGTTACTCAACCTATCTGAGTTCAGTCTTCTTGTATAAAGTGGAGATAACAGTGATTCTTATCTAATAAGCATGCTTGAGGATGGAAAGCATAAAGTACATAGAGATTTTAGTGTAGTTTCTGGCACATTCGAAGCACTTGGTAATGTTTGATGTCTATACTGACAATGATATTTATTCATTTACTAAGCATTCATTTGATAAATTTTTATTGAGTACCTACTTACCATCTGCCAGGCATTCTTCTAGATACTGGGGATATAGCATTTAACAAAACAGAATCATAGCCTGATGGAACTTCCATTTTACTAAAATGATAAACAGTAAGCTTGAATTATTTAACATCATTAATCATAACAGTTTTTTTCCTAAGGAATGAAAACTAGGCTTTACCAAATAGAAGACATGTGGACTTTTTAAATGAATAAAGATGTTGTTATTTGCAGATTATTTACATGAGAATAAATGCTTCTAAGCACTTTAATTTGTTTTCTTGACAAAGTTTAAAGATTTCTGCCTTTTATTAGGATTGTATTTACTCTATTGACTTAGCAAAATTAATGAGGCTTTATACACACAGAAAATACACTTGAATGTATTTTGAAATGTCTAGATATAGAGTTAGTGTGTATATATGAATATTCTTTAGAAAGGTATTTTCAGCCAGGCATAGTGGCATGTGCCTATAGTCTCAGCCATTTCAAATGCTGAAGTGGGAAGATTACTTGAGACTAGGAGTTTGAGTTGAAACCTGGGGAACATAGTGAGACTCCATCTTTAAAAACAAAGATATTTTCAAAATTGTTGGCATCTGAAATATTTAGCCCTTATCATGCTGACTCTTTCCCTCAGAGATGATGCAAAATTTAATTGTGCTTTTAAGGAAATTGTGAATGACCAATCATTTCATGTGAAATCATTCTATAAGATCATTTAGCTCTTTTCATAGGATTTATCTATAGATAGTTGATTTTTTTTCCACACAAGCACTGAGTAAATTTAACTTAATAAAAGATAATATAATTCTCTGTCAACCTTAAGGCTTATGGCAAGAGTTTCATTGTTTGAAAGGAGAAATATTCTTAACTAGCATTTAAAATTGTTATTTAGTAAACTATTAGCCTGAAACTTTTTTGGGTAAAGTTGCCTGTGTGTATGATTAGAACTGATTTAATGAAATAACAAGAAGTGAATCTGTAAAAGCAAAAGTAATTTGAAAATATTAGCTGAGAGGTTTCTGCTCATGCTATCTTTAGAGAACACAAATTTTAAAACGTGACAACTTTTTATGTGAAAAGATACAGAAATGACAGTCAACAATAGAAAGAGCTGTACAAAAGAAAAAAGAAAAAATGGAAACTTTAATCATGTGCAGCCTGATATTAAAATATTCTGAAAGAACATAAAAATTAATTATCTACTTTATTTTTCCTTTACAAATGAGCTAAATGTCAAACAAATTTCTTGATGAATGAGAAGGCTAAGCATTGAGTCATTTGCAGGTGTTTTTTGAACACAGCAAAGCCTGAAGGATTCTGACATGCATAAGAAAAGCCTCCACAAAACATGGTGGGTTATCACACTCACATGCACTTTCACTGTTGTGGACAATATGGTTAAGAACAAAGATGCTCATGTTGCCTTATGCCTTGAAAGACAATATGATATGGTGGAAGGAACACTGGGCTGGATCTCAGGAGACCTGGGTTCAAATTCTTTTACTCTTCATCTTGGCAACTAAGAGACCTCAGCTCTGGAATTAGAGGATTGAGATTAAAGAGTTAAATATAGTCTTCTCTAAAGTCCCTTTCAACTTGAGCAAGTTGTAGCCCTAGGATCACTTGTTCTCTTACAAACCAAACCACAAATGCAGTCATGTTCTCCTTGTTTGGACCTCAGGGTCAAGAGCACTTACTATGTGTTTAGAATTGTAATCATTGGAAAGTGCAAGATAGCATGAATATTTTGGGATTAAAGAAGCACATAATTACATCAAAAAGTTCCTGTTTCATTAAGCATAAATTCTTTTTTTTTTTTAATTTTATTTTTTTTGAGACAGAGTCTCGCTTTGTTGCCCAGGCTAGAGTGAGTGCCATGGCGTCAGCCTAGCTCACAGCAACCTCAAACTCCTGGGCTCAAGCGATCCTCCTGCCTCAGCCTCCCGAGTAGCTGGGACTACAGGCATGCGCCACCATGCCCGGCTGATTTTTTCTATGTATATTAGTTGGCCAATTAATTTCTTTCTGTTTATAGTAGAGACGGGGTCTCGCTCTTGCTCAGGTTGGTTTCGAACTCCTGAACTCAAACGATCCACCCGCCTCAGCCTCCCAGAGAGCTAGGATTACAGGCGTGAGCCACCACCCCCGGCCTAAGCATAAATTCTTGATCAGAAAAAGAGGAGGCAGTCCTCTCCCCATGCCATTCTATAGCCTACAGGATTAGGCTAAAATGATTGTGTCTATTATTAATACTAAGAGACCAAAATATGAGCATGTTCTCATATTGAAATGTATGGTTTCTTTCAGAAAACAGATTTGGAATTGGGTTGTAAATAGAAGAGAAAATCCCAATGACTTGCATATTTCTTCAGTCAATATTACCATTCACCTAAAAACTCATCCATTTAATAAACCTTTCTTTAAACAAGTCACTTACATATGTAGACTGAATATTCATACTTAGACATTTCTTACTATTTTAGAAGAATAATCAAAAGGTAGAACATATATAAGATATGTTAAACATAACAAACTGGCATCTTACCTCTACATTCCATGTTTAGAAAAAAGAGAAAATAAGCTCAAATTGGGATCTCCAATCAATATGTTTCTCAAAATGCTATGATAATAAATGGCTCAAGGGATAAACACGATTGGCATATGGCACACTATAATCCCCCCTCAGAGATTCGTGCTGAATATTAACATTCTCTGAGGGTATTTTATGGTTTATTTATTTATCTTTTAAAATAAAATATTTATTGACATATAATTTGCATACTAAAAAGGTAACCCATTTAGAGTGTACAATTTGATGATTTCTAGTATATTCAAACACTGTCAGCACAATCAGTTTTAGATCATTTCCATCACTTCAGAGAAAAACCCTATGACAACTGGCTGTGACTCCTATTTCCCCCCAAACCACTTCCCTGACAGCTTGAGGCTACCACAAATCTCTGTTATCTCTGTAAACCTGCATATCTTAAACATTTCATGTAAATGAAATCATACAACATGTGTTTTCTTTCATTTAGTATGTTTTCAAGGTCATCCATGTTGTAGCATGTATCAATATCTCACTTCTTTATATTGCCAAATAGTATTACATTATAAGGATACACTACATTTTGTTTATGCATTCATCAGTTGACATTTGTGTTGTTTCCACTTTGTGGCTATTATAAATAGCATTGCTATGAACATTCCTGTACAAGTTTTTATGGACATATGCTTTTATTTCCCTTGATTATATACCTAGGAGTAGAACAGCTGCGTCATATGTTAACTCTATGTTTAACAATTTGAGGAACTGCCAAACTATTTTCTAAAGAGACGGCACCATTTTTCATTCCAGCCAGCAATGAATGAGGCTTTCAGTTTCTCCACATCTTGTCAACATTTGTCATTGTCTTTTTTATTATAGTCATACTAGTGGGTATAAAGTGGTATTTCATTGTAGTTTTAATTTGCATTCCCTAATAGCTAAAGATACTGTGTATCATTTCATATGAGTATTGGCCATTTGTATGTCTTCTTTGGAGAAATGTATATTTATAGCCATTGCCCATATTGTAAATTGGGTTACTTACCTTTTGCTATTCAGGTGTAATAGTTATTTATATACTCAAAATACAAGTCTCTTATAAGATATATGACTGGCAAATGGTTTTTCCAATTCTGTGACAGCCTTTTCACTTTTGATGGTGTCCCTTGACGTACAGAAGATTTCATTTTGATAAAGTTCAATTTATCTATTTTTTTTTCTTTTGTCACTGGTGCTTTGATGTCATCTTGGCATCAAAGTTTGGCGGCAAAGTTTCTTGGCAACAAAGTTTGCAAAGATTTTATTCTTTGCAGTAAAGAGTAAAATTGTCCAAGTTCATATAATCCAAATGAGGTTGTGGAAGTAATTTGTGGTTGTGGAAGTAATAACCACTACGGTTATTTCTTTGAGTTGATCCATTTTACGGTTGGCTTTATTTCTTTCTGGTTTTAAAACAGAAAACCAAGGCATGGAAGAACATCTCCCCGTGAGTGAAGTGGCAACTTAAGCTAACATTGAGATTAGTAATAACATTACTAACAATTACTGAATGCTTTCTGAGGTTGGTGGAATTATTAGTCTCATTTTATTAATGAATAGACTAAAATTTAGAGGGGGTATATGACTTACCCAAGGATATAGAGCTATTTGATGGTGGAG